CGTGCAAGCACATAAAAAACATGCAGTAGGTATATATATCCTTTTATGCATATAGCTGTTTGCATACATGCACGTATATATATATATATATATATATATATATATATATATATATATATATATCAAAGATATATATATATATATATATATACTACACACACACACACACACACACACACACACATATATATATATATATATATATATATATATATATATATATATATATATATCACAGATGAGTTGTGTCCTATATATATAGAATTTGAATCTGTTTGTAATTCCATAATTCCATATCAAGCACCGCTAGAATGTCATCATAAAATTAGTTGCAGTATAATCTATCTGCCACTGTTGTTAATTATCAGGAATTTCATTAGAAATTTAAGTATATTTAAGATTACTATATGTTTATATATCTTACTAAAAATGACAGATTAACGAACTTTATATATGTGTATGTCACTAAATAACGAATCAAATAAATCACAAGGAAGTGGTCTGGCTGGAGTTGATCCTAAGGTTTCATTTCAACTGTCCCTTTGTCTCGCATTGGAACGAATCACTTATCACACTACGACGCATTCTTGCAATTAGCACTTACGGATTGCAGAGTAGAAGACGGCTATTTCCAATCACTGTTAATATTCCGTCCTTACTCCAGGAAACTTGCATGAGCTACCTGGTTACAACGCCCTTTGCGAAAACTCCAAACCTGCCCTATGGCTTCTCGAGGTTGCCAATACGGGGTTTTCGCACTTGTCTGATATAGATAAAAAGAAAGCAGCTCGTATGCTCGTTGTGAATAGATAGTCTATATGGAAACCTGGGATTGATGTAGGAGAGTCGTATTTATTTATTTATTTATTTGTTTTATCCATTTTTCAATGTTTCGCTTACGTCTGAGTTTGACCCTGAATTCTTGCGATAGAAAACGGAATCTGACGGATATACCTCAGGGGAAAACTTCTGAAGATTATTAATTTGCTTATAGTTATAGAACCGTAGTTTGTATTAATATATGTTAATATGCAAATATCAGTATAAGTGCGTTTACCAAAAAAAAAAAGTTCTCTATTTAGTAAGCCAACTAATATTATCTAATTTACTAAAAGAACTGTTTACTACCTATAATCCCAGCTGTAATAAATGGTGGACGTTGCCATGCCTGTGAGAACCTCACATTCGAAATCAAGATAAGTTATCATTACCCTGTCGTGTGGTTATACCTGTTTGCTGAAGGCTTACTGACCATTCCGGTTTGCTTTTTCAGTTTCCCGTAAGCGAACTATCGTCAATCAGGATATCACAGTCACGGATTTCGATAAATATATATTTTTTTAGAAACAACTAGTGCTCGCCTGTGTAACAACAGTAATAATAACGGTGAGAATAAAATGATAAGGATGATTATGATAACAACAATAATAATAATAAAAATAAAGATAATGATGATAATGATAGTAATAATAACAACGATCGTGATTATACTACACACATCTTCATTATCATTATCTTTTTATCATGACCTTGATTATCATTACCTTCATCATCATTATCTTTACCTTACCTTGCCCAGGCCCGCCATAACCTGAGCTAAAGCAAATTTTCCTTTATTTTTTATAGTTCCTTTATAACATTTACTTCAAGAAAGACTAAGTAGTGCTTCATATTTTTGAATGGGTTTACATTACAACTAAATTCCTTATGTTGTTGTAAGACGTAAATATTTTTTAGAGGTGATTTCGCTTGACGGGTTTAACTATAACTTTTGTCATTCACAAGATTAACGTAACCTATTAAATTTTATGCTAATATGCAGAAAAAAATGTCAAACTAAAAAACTTCCACTTTTATGCGTAGGTTAAATAACTTTTCTCAAGACTTACTTCTACTTATAAAAGTTCACTGCTCTAATCAACAGCTTATCATTAAGCAAAAAACGGACATACCAAAAATATTCAGTATATGTAGAACTGGATGTGTATCCTATAAACACCAGCAAGCATACAGGCTTCTCGAGGTTGCAAGACGGGGTTTTCGCACTTGTCTGATATAGATAAAAAGAAAGCAAGCTCGTATGCTCGTTGTGCAATAGATAGTCTATATGGAACCTGGGATTGATGTAGGAGAGTCGTATTTATTTATTTATTTATTTATTTATTTATTTATTTATTTATTTATTTATTTATTTATTTATTTATTTATTTATTTATTTATTTATTTATTTATTTATTTATTTATTTATTTATTTATTTATTTATTTATTTATTTATTTATTTATTTATTTATTTATTTATTTATTTATTTATTTATTTATTTATTTATTTATTTATTTATTTATTTATTTATTTATTTATTTATTTATTTATTTATTTATTTATTTATTTATTTATTTATTTATTTATTTATTTATTTATTTATTTATTTATTTATTTATTTATTTATTTATTTATTTATTTATTTATTTATTTATTTATTTATTTATTTATTTATTTATTTATTTATTTATTTATTTATTTATTTATTTATTTATTTATTTATTTATTTATTTATTTATTTATTTATTTATTTATTTATTTATTTATTTATTTATTTATTTATTTATTTATTTATTTATTTATTTATTTATTTATTTATTTATTTATTTATTTATTTATTTATTTATTTATTTATTTATTTATTTATTTATTTATTTATTTATTTATTTATTTATTTATTTATTTATTTATTTATTTATTTATTTATTTATTTATTTATTTATTTATTTATTTATTTATTTATTTATTTATTTATTTATTTATTTATTTATTTATTTATTTATTTATTTATTTATTTATTTATTTATTTATTTATTTATTTATTTATTTATTTATTTATTTATTTATTTATTTATTTATTTATTTATTTATTTATTTATTTATTTATTTATTTATTTATTTATTTATTTATTTATTTATTTATTTATTTATTTATTTATTTATTTATTTATTTATTTATTTATTTATTTATTTATTTATTTATTTATTTATTTATTTATTTATTTATTTATTTATTTATTTATTTATTTATTTATTTATTTATTTATTTATTTATTTATTTATTTATTTATTTATTTATTTATTTATTTATTTATTTATTTATTTATTTATTTATTTATTTATTTATTTATTTATTTATTTATTTATTTATTTATTTATTTATTTATTTATTTATTTATTTATTTATTTATTTATTTATTTATTTATTTATTTATTTATTTATTTATTTATTTATTTATTTATTTATTTATTTATTTATTTATTTATTTATTTATTTATTTATTTATTTATTTATTTATTTATTTATTTATTTATTTATTTATTTATTTATTTATTTATTTATTTATTTATTTATTTATTTATTTATTTATTTATTTATTTATTTATTTATTTATTTATTTATTTATTTATTTATTTATTTATTTATTTATTTATTTATTTATTTATTTATTTATTTATTTATTTATTTATTTATTTATTTATTTATTTATTTATTTATTTATTTATTTATTTATTTATTTATTTATTTATTTATTTATTTATTTATTTATTTATTTATTTATTTATTTATTTATTTATTTATTTATTTATTTATTTATTTATTTATTTATTTATTTATTTATTTATTTATTTATTTATTTATTTATTTATTTATTTATTTATTTATTTATTTATTTATTTATTTATTTATTTATTTATTTATTTATTTATTTATTTATTTATTTATTTATTTATTTATTTATTTATTTATTTATTTATTTATTTATTTATTTATTTATTTATTTATTTATTTATTTATTTATTTATTTATTTATTTATTTATTTATTTATTTATTTATTTATTTATTTATTTATTTATTTATTTATTTATTTATTTATTTATTTATTTATTTATTTATTTATTTATTTATTTATTTATTTATTTATTTATTTATTTATTTATTTATTTATTTATTTATTTATTTATTTATTTATTTATTTATTTATTTATTTATTTATTTATTTATTTATTTATTTATTTATTTATTTATTTATTTATTTATTTATTTATTTATTTATTTATTTATTTATTTATTTATTTATTTATTTATTTATTTATTTATTTATTTATTTATTTATTTATTTATTTATTTATTTATTTATTTATTTATTTATTTATTGCTCTAATCAACAGCTTATCATTAAGCAAAAAACGGACATACCAAAAATATTCAGTATATGTAGAACTGGATGTATATCCTATAAACACCAGCAAGCATACACGCACATGCTATTTACATGTAACAACACAAAATATTTTACATTTGAGTATAAATACAGACATATATAAATGTTTATATGGTATAGCCTGATAGACATTGTAGACAGAGATAACTAAATGGGCAAACAAACATACAAATCGCCCTTGCCCTGAGCCCTGCATGAACTGTCCAAATGCACGGAGTTTCCATGGAACTAGAAGCAATAAACTACACTGGGATAACCGAATGACCACGCCTGCGATACGATGGAGGTACTGTCATACCACTTCTACTTGCTCCACAAACTGAAATTCCTCCTCCCCAAGTTGACTTCTGCATTTTCATGTCTGGTCCAAGTTTCCCAGCTACGCATCTGTGCCATTGAGGATCGTCACGGTCATCTTAGGTCAAACAATTATTATTATATATTTTTTTAGATAAAGCATATCTCTATAAGTAACAGTTAATGTGATAACAGGACATTTATATTTTCAGCGTGGTTCCTGATATCATATAGAGTGCCCTTACATTATATCGTTATGTTACATTATGTCCACACCCATATATATTATCGTTATATAATATCATATCCGCGCCTACACAGGTACAATGGCTTAGGTTAGGAAGGTTCGAAGCTTTATTCATGACACTTCGGTTGCATCTTGCTGTACAAGAGGAGTTTAGTGCCTTCATTGGACGGTATCATCAACGACCACCA